AGGAGCACGTCTACCAGGAATGAAGGCGGCCTCTTGGACCGAACGGAGCCACGGGGAGCATCCCTGGCAGTGATGTGTTAGGGGGAGCGGGGATCAAGACAGGTCTCGGGGATCCGCCACCATGAGGCGATCCTGGGGAACCGCCACCATGAGGCGATCCTGGAGATCTACCACCACGAGGTGACCCCCCTCCACCAGATCCGGGGGATCCGCTACCAGGGGACCCCCCTCCGCCAGATCCAAGGAGGCGCCACCACGAGGCGACCCCCTCCCACCATCGCTACCCGATCCGCCGTCACTGTCGACTTGGATCGCGGATCCCGCAGTGCCGCCTCCGGATCCGGCCGTGTCAGCGACTTGCGGAGGCGGTGTCGAGAGGGATCTCCGCCGGGCTTCGGATCGGGATTGGGACAGAGCCCGTCGAGTGTCTTCCTCTAAGGCATCCTCAGCGGCTCGAGCCTCTTCCGAATCCTCCGGACTCTCAGCGTCATCGTCGTCGTCATCGTCCTCATCGCTCATAGTGAAGGGATACGGGCCGGAGGACGACGTACGCTTCGACGACGATCGGATAGGAGGCCCTGAGCCGTCGGACCAGTCCGACTCCTCATCCTCGTCATCCTCCGAGCTGCCAAGTCCGCATCCCGGGGGAATGACACGTTTAGCTTTCCCCTTCCCGGATCCGGCACGGGCGGGCGGATGGCCGGTGGAAGCTGGACGGAGAACGGCAGGCGTCGTCACCGAAGGGGCAGTGATGGATCCCGACTGAGACTGTCCGGATTTAGCCGTGGATGGGGCTAGCCCCGTCGTAGGAGCAACGATGGCCGTGGATCCAGTGGACACCACTGCCTGGGACGACGGCGCAGTCGTGGATCCAGTTTTGGGCGCCGATCCCGACTTGGATACAGCAACGGATCCAGCCTTGGCGGTTGATCCAGATTTGGATGCCGAAGATCCCGCTTTGGATGCCACACCGGACCCAGTCTTGGGTCCGGATCCGGTCTTGGACGCCGTAGATCCAGTCTTGGGCCCAGATCCAGTCGCGGATACTGAAGTCGACTTGGATGCAGTGGTGGATCCGTTCTTGGATCCGGCTCCAGACTTCTAGGGAGAGGCGGAAGTTTTGGACGTGGATGTGGGACCCGTCTTGGATGTGGATTTGGATCCTGCCTTGGGAGCGGATGTGGGTCCCACCTGAGAGGCCGCCTTAGAGGCCGAACCGGTTTTGGATTTGGCCTTTGGGGAAGCGCGAGCATGCTTATGAGGACGGGGGGATCCGGTGTTAGGAGCGAAAGATGCACTACGCGGACGTTTCGCAACTGACGGATCCGCCCCACTTACAGACGGGAGAGGAGCAGAGACGCTGGCAGCACGAGAGGGTCCCGACAAGGGAGGAAGGGGATCCGACACGGCAGCTGTCACCAGCGCCAGTCGTCGACGAGCCAAATCCCGCTCCGATAAGCCACGATCGCGCTCCAGGACCAGCTGTTTCTGCTGAGTTTGGGCTGCAGCGAGTTGATCCCGGAGTTCTGCGGCGGTCGCATCGGCTTCTTGCAATGTGTCACCTGGATTGACAATAACGAGTGAATATGGGGTTACTAGCAAGGACTAAAAGAGGATCCACGTACTCGTGCGGCGAAGCTTGGATTCCAGCTCTGTTTGTGCACGCTTGGCATCCGCCCACTCGGTAGCCGCCTTGTCCCGCTGGAGTTCGCTGTCCGCCAGTTTCGCTTGGATCTCGTCGCGCAATTGAGTCACACGCACGAATTCTTCGAGCGCGTAATCTCGTCCGGCAGACGCTTTCTCGAGCGACTCCTTGGTGTCTTGCAACTCCTCAGAGAGTTGAGCCAGGGCTACATCCGGCGATGAGGGAGGTGGATTTGGCGCGGGGGACCCTCCACGCGCCGACCCTAAGGCGGATCCGCCATGGGTGGATCCCACATAGTCGTTGGTCACCACCTCCTCTTGGGTCAGACGCAACTCGTCACGGAGCCGGTCCAAGCTCGCATCCGCGGCTGCCCCAGCAGTCTGAGAATCCTCCAGATCCCGCTCGAGGTCGTGGATCCGGGATTGAAGCTGGTGGATCTCAGATCCGGCGAGCGCCATCTCCCTAAGGAGATGGTCGTTGTCATCTCGCATGACATCTCGCTGACGGGAGGCGCGATCCAGCCGTCCGGTCAGGTCGCAGATCTCGACCGCCTGATCAGCTAACAAGAGTCGCAGGTCCTGCGACCGAGAGGCCGCACGGTGCTCCCACCCCTGGATCTCCATGGCCTGGTCATGGACTTGGGCTCGCAAGGTCTGAAGTTGGGTAGTGTGCAGAGACGCAGCTTGGTCTTGGGCATCTTGAGCCGTCTGGAGCTCCGCCGTCAGGGTTTGCACCTGATCGGAAAGAGCCTGGGCTAGAACCCGCAGATCGGTGAGCGACATAGAAGACGGACTGACCGGAGGGGTGGTGGATGGGGCCTTGCCCGACGATTTGCCGGTACGCTTGGCGGGAGACATGTGTCGCGAAGGGGAGAAAGCGGTTGTGGATGCTGGTAATGCACGCCGTGAACGCTGTTGTGCAGCGCCGACAACGTACAGGAGGCGATTGTGGTGAAGTGCTTTCTCAGAAATAAGAGAATGGTCCTGACGCGGGGTCACTATCCCGAATCAGTGACAATTTCAAGTGATTATAGAGGATTTGGGTTGTTTGGCACGGGTGCAAGTTGCCTGTGGTGGATTAGCCATGGCGAGCAGCACCCCGTATGGAATGACGATGGATCTGATATGAGCGATGTACGAGAAGGCAAGATCCACCAAAGACTTACATCGGATCCACCCTTACCTGGATTCACTTAAGATGGATATGGGATATACTATACAAGAGTGGATCGAGTGTGGATCCTATGAAGGAAGGATGGTCGGTGCCCTCTGAAGGTGGATCTAGTAGCCACGGCTAATGAAGAGTCAAGATCCACCGCGAGGTACCCCGGATCCCATACTTCCGAGTTCGGATCCAAGGAGGGAGGATCCCGCCTGGAGGGACCTGGATCCAAGGAATAGAGATGATGGATACAGTGGATCTCGAACTTTCGTGGGACAATGGAGATCACAGACGGTTGCGAGATGATGTTGGATGATGGGAGAGCTCAGATCGACGACGAGTGCAAACTTACAGTGAAGTGGATCCAAGCGACCTGGATCCGGATGAGTGTACCCATAATAGGGTGACCATGATGATTACGTCATGGATCCGGTGGATCTGAAGATAATACAGCTGGGATGATGGGTCAAGGGAAGAAGGGACATGCAGCCGAGCCTGGTATGGGATTTAACAAGGGAAAGACAGAGAAGGTAGAAATCCAGGCAGGTATAGGCTTAAGTATCAATACAGTCCTCAATTTGCACAGTATCACGCAAGTGCCTTCCTGCCCTCAAAAACCGGAGCTACATTGGCCGTACGAGCTCCGTGAAGGTTAGGAATTGCAAATCTAGTGTTGGTAGTGATAACTGGATAATACATTGGCCAGATCCTACAACCTAGTGAGCTTTCCTATACACGTGCAGATCCGACAGGTTAACCGAATTTACTACTTGGTCGGCTATACCCTAGAGGTTCTCAACTCTCAAGATCCCGTCACAGGAGGCGGCAAGTACGACGCAAAGGAACTACAAAGGCAAGGGAACACACCCGCAAGGCCAGATCCACGATCTAGGGCCCGGAACCATAAGCTCGAATATTCGCTACGGCCAGATCCACGATCTAGGGCCCGGAACCATAAGCTCGAATATTCGCTTAGGATACGGAACCATCCACGGACGCAGAGTGAAGATTTTCTACTGCTGCTCCACCCTATCCCCACGTCTCGCCAAGACGCTCAAGCTTCTCCACTTGAACTCTCCGGAAGTTACCGAGAGAGCAGATCCCGCCCTACCGACGGGTACACAAGGTGAGGAAAGCTCAGCAGAACACGGATCATCGGGGGACCCCCTCCGTTAGTCGGTGTCTGGGTGCAGTTGGTAAGCTGGATCCGGCAATCTCGCAGATTTTGCTGATCCCGCTACACCACATCCACTTGGAAGGCTTCCCCCACGGCTGAGTTGCTCACCACAACCGACTCGGGCAGTGAAGATTCGTGCTGGACACTCACGCAGCTGATGGAAGTATCTTCCGGTTGGGGCCCACGCTGAAGCTTGAAGAGGGCGTCCTGGAAGAGCTGCATGGCCTTCCGCAGGGTCACAGCGATCTCCGTACACTGCTCCAGCGTACGCGCTCGTACCCTGAACACTCGTTTATCCGAGCGGATGACTGTGAGAATCCGTGGGAACTGATCGTTGACTTCAATGTGCAGAATACCCGACAGATGAACCGACGAGCGCACCTCTCCCAACGCCATCGCCGACATGGAAGCCGAATCCTCCTCAGGGATGGAGCCTGTGGCCTTAAAGCACAGCATCTCGGTCGTCGTGAGCATGAAAATCCGCCACTTCCACAGCGCCACGTTCGCGCTCATTCGACGACTCGCTAGGGACCGTCCACCCATCGTGAAGGTGCCCAGATACAAAATCTCGTCCATCGTGTTGTCCTGCTCCTCCAACAAGCAGCTGTACAGGATACCGGGCATGGCGTGGGCGCTGCTACTCGTCAGACCGCCGCCCAGCGTGTTCAAGCTGAAGCTTCCTCGACTACTCACGTCTGGCGTCCCGATAACATCCAACACGCCGTCCACCGACGGGTTTCGGTCCTTCCCAGAGGCCGGAAGTAGCAACGGCAGCGCCATCTTCTCTCCAGCCACCGGCGACAACTCCGGGTCGCTCTCTCTTTCCGCATAGTTCGGGTTCGAGCTCTGTCTACTTCTCGAGCTCTTGGGACTGCGATATTCAATGCTTTGTGAGAGTCAACACCAAGGAGGTGGTCGTGACTGCCCTTGCCGCCTTCAACTCGAGCCCACTCTCTTGTCCAGTACAAAGTCAACTCTCTGCACGCCGACATAGCCAACAGCGCCCGGTGTAACGGAAACGACGGCGATAGTGACGTGCGAGGACGTGAGAGCCTTGGCATGCGAAGACGTGAGTGGTGACGTGACCCGCAGTGTGGCTGAACGCGGTGGCTACGCTGTGTCATCTGGCTGTACGAGTGGCGCGGGCACGGGATCAAGCAAGCAGACAACCGAGACGTCCGAGGAGACGGAGACATTTTGTCGAGGGTACCACTACGGAAATGGCCACATAGATGACCACGACGGAGGAAACGGAAACGACAAAGACAGTGACGAGCGAGGACGTGAGAGCCTTGGCACGCGAAGACGTGAGTGGCGACGTGACCCGCAGTGTGGCTGAACGCGGTGGCTACGCTGTGTCATCTGGCTGTACGAGTGGGGCGGGCACGGGATCGAGCAAGCAGACAACCGAGACGTCCGAGGAGACGGAGACGTTTTGGCGAGGGTACTACTACGGAAATGGCCACCGAGATGACCACGACGGAGGAAACGGAAACGACAAAGACAGTGACGAGCGAGGACGTGAGAGCCTTGGCACGCGAAGACGTGAGTGGTGACGTGACCCGCAGTGTGGCTGAACGCGGTGGCTACGCTGTGTCATTTGGCTGTACGAGTGGGGCGGGCACGGGATCGAGCAAGCAGACAACCGAGACGTCCGAGGAGACGGAGACGTTTTGGCGAGGGTACTACTACGGAAAAGGCCACCGAGATGACCACGACGGAGGAAACGGAAACGACGGAGACAGTGACGAGCGAGGACGTGAGAGCCTTGGCACGCGAAGACGTGAGTGGCGACGTGACCCGCAGTGTAGCTGAACGCGGTGGCTACGCTGTGTCATCTGGCTGTACGAGTGGGGCGGGCACGGGATCGAGCAAGCAGACAACCGAGACGTCCGAGGAGACGGAGACGTTTTGTCGAGGGTACCACTACAAAAATGGCCACCGAGATGACCACGACGGAGGAAACGGAAACGACAAAGACAGTGACGAGCGAGGACGTGAGAGCCTTTGCACGCGAAGACGTGAGTGGCGACGTGACCCGCAGTGTGGCTGAACGCGGTGGCTACGCTGTGTCATTTGGCTGTACGAGTGGGGCGGGCACGGGATCGAGCAAGCAGACAACCGAGACGTCCGAGGAGACGGAGACGTTTTGTCGAGGGTACCACTACGGAAATGGCCACCGAGATGACCACGACGGAGGAAACGGAAACGACAAAGACAGTGACGAGCGAGGACGTGAGAGCCTTGGCACGCGAAGACGTGAGTGGCGACGTGGCCCGCAGTGTGGCTGAACGCGGTGGCTACGCAATGTCATCTGGCTGTACGAGTGGGGCGGGCACGGGATCGAGCAAGCAGACAACCGAGACGTTCGAGGAGAAAGAGAAAATCTTTTGTTCGAGGGTTACCACCTAGGGAAAAGGCCCACCGAGAAGTACCCCGCACGGAAGAAAACGGAAACCGACACAGACCGTGAACCAGCGAGGACGTGTGAGCCTTGGCCACGCGAAGAACTCGAAGTGGTGACGCTGGTTGCCTACGCTGTGTTCATCTGGCTGTACGAGTGAGGCGGGCACGGATTGAGCAAGCAGACCACCGAGACGTCCGAGGAGAAGGAGACGTTTTGTCGAGGGTACCACTACGGAAATGGCCACCGAGATGACCACGACGGAGGAAACGGAAACGACAAAGACAGTGACGAGCGAGGACGTGAGTGGCGACGTGGCCCGCAGTGTGGCTGAACGCGGTGGCTACGCTGTGTCATCTGGCTGTACGAGTGGGGCGGGCACGGGATCGAGCAAGCAGACAACCGAGACGTCCGAGGAGAAGGAGACGTTTTGTCGAGGGTACCACTACGGAAATGGCCACCGAGATGACCACGACGGAGGAAACGGAAACGACAAAGACAGTGACGAGCGAGGACGTGAGAGCCTTGCCACGCGAAGACGTGAGTGGTGACGTGACCCGCAGTGTGGCTGAACGCGGTGGCTACGCTGTGTCATTTGCCTGTACGAGTGGGGCGGGCACGGGATCGAGCAAGCAGACAACCGAGACGTCCGAGGAGACGGAGACGTTTTGTCGAGGGTACCACTACGGAAATGGCCACCGAGATGACCACGACGGAGGAAACGGAAACGACAAAGACAGTGACGAGCGAGGACGTGAGAGCCTTGGCACGCGAAGACGTGAGTGGCGACGTGACCCGCAGTGTGGCTGAACGCGGTGGCTACGCTGTGTCATTTGGCTGTACGAGTGGGGCGGGCACGGGATCGAGCAAGCAGACAACCGAGACGTCCGAGGAGACGGAGACGTTTGTCGAGGGTATCACTACGGAAATGGCCACCGAGATGACCACGACGGAGGAAACGGAAAAGAACGGAGACAGTGACGAGCGAGGACGTGAGAGCCTTGGCACGCGAAGACGTGAGTGGCGACGTGGCCCGCAGTGTGGCTGAACGCGGTGGCGACGCTGTGTCATCTGGCTGTACGAGTGGCGCGGACACGGGATCGAGCAAGCAGACAACCGCGACGTCCGAGAAGACGGAGACGTTTTGTTGAGGGTACCACTGCGGAAATGGCCACCGAGATGACCTCGACGGAGGAAACGGAAACGACGGAGACAGTGACGAGCGAGGACGTGAGAGCCTTGGCACGCGAAGACGTGAGTGGCGACGTGGCCCGCAGTGTGGCTGAACGCGGTGACTACGCTGTGTCATCTGACTGTACGAGTGGCGCGGGCACGGGATCGAGCAAGCAGACAACCGAGACGACCGAGGAGACGGAGACGTTTTGTCGAGGGTACCACTACGGAAATGGCCACCGAGATGACCACGACCGAGGAAACGGAAACGACGGAGACAGTGACGAGCGAGGACGTGAGAGCCTTGGCACGCGAAGACGTGAGTGGCGACGTGGCCCGCAGTGTGGCTGAACGCGGTGGCTACGCTGTGTCATCTGGCTGTACGAGTGGGGCGGGCACGGGATCGAGCAAGCAGACAACCGAGACGTCCGAGGAGACGGAGACGTTTTGTCGAGGGTACCACTACGGAAATGGCCACCGAGATGACCACGACGGAGGAAACGGAAACGACAAAGACAGTGACGAGCGAGGACGTGAGAGCCTTGGCACGCGAAGACGTGAGTGGCGACGTGGCCCGCAGTGTGGCTGAACGCGGTGGCTACGCTGTGTCATCTGGCTGTACGAGTGGGGCGGGCACGGGATCGAGCAAGCAGACAGCCGAGACGACCGAGGAGACGGAGACGTTTGTCGAGGGTACCACTACGGAAATGGCCACCGAGATGACCACGACGGAGGAAACGGAAACGACAAAGACAGTGACGAGCGAGGACGTGAGAGCCTTGCCACGCGAAGACGTGAGTGGTGACGTGACCCGCAGTGTGGCTGAACGCGGTGGCTACGCTGTGTCATATGGCTGTACGAGTGGCGCGGGCACGGGATCGAGCAAGCAGACAGCCGAGACGACCGAGGAGACGGAGACGTTTGTCGAGGGTACCACTACGGAAATGGCCACCGAGATGACCACGACGGAGGAAACGGAAACGACAAAGACAGTGACGAGCGAGGACGTGAGAGCCTTGGCACGCGAAGACGTGAGTGGCGACGTGGCCCGCAGTGTGGCTGAACGCGGTGGCTACGCTGTGTCATCTGGCTGTACGAGTGGGGCGGGCACGGGATCGAGCAAGCAGACAACCGAGACGTCCGAGGAGACGGAGACGTTTTGTCGAGGGTACCACTACGGAAATGGCCACCGAGATGACCACGACGGAGGAAACGGAAACGACAAAGACAGTGACGAGCGAGGACGGGAGAGCCTTGGCACGCGAAGACGTGAGTGGTGACGTGACCCGCAGTGTGGCTGAGCGCGGTGGCTACGCTGTGTCATTTGGCTGTACGAGTGGCGCGGGCACGGGATCGAGCAAGCAGACAACCGAGACGTCCGAGGAGACGGAGACGGTTTGTCGAGGGTACCACTACGGAAATGGCCACCGAGGTGACCACGACGGAGGAGACTCCTATGACGTCGGAGGATGTTTCTGGCGATAATAAGGTGAGTGGCTTGGCAACGGCTGCCATCGGGTGTTGTCAAGGATGTAGTTATTTTATTTTTGTTTTTAATAAAACTAGGCTACCCTCATCACTTCGTCACACACTTCGCTTTCGAAGAAGCTGTATGGTCCTGGAAACGCGGGTTCTTGGACTTAGAGGGCTCCTTGGCCTCCGACGTTTTCTTGCCCTTGCACACCTTGTAGTGCTTCCTCGCCCTCGACTTGCTGAGGCTTGTTTTTTTTTTCTTACGAAAAATGTCGATCAGGCGATACTTTTTTCCGCACCCGCGGCATTGGTGGGATATCGGGCCCTTGGTGGAATCGATGGTGTATTCCAGCTCCACGAAGTGGTCTTGAACGGTGAAACTTTCAGCCATGGAGAATTGTCGAATGGCAGCAATATGAGGCGCTCGAGAGCGCAATGCAAGTCCTTTTTTTGCGCCACATGCGTTTTGTAAAAAAATAATTGGCTAATTGTAGTGTCAAATCAATAATTATATTGTTAAATTAACACCTCAAAGAATCTACATTGTACTAATATTAAATGAAAAGTTTGATTATTAAATTCACATTTCAAAGAACCGTATTTGTATATTGGACTGCCAAATTGTTTTTTCAGTCTTTTTACTCTGTGTTTCTCATTATAACGTACTTGCTTTGTCTCATATATGATTAATCCTTTTTAAATTAGAAAGTAAAGTCATACCTCGGCTTCT